GTTTTAAAATGAAAGATCAGTTTCTTCCAGAAATGATCTTGTGTCAACACTTAGTTCCTCTGTTATGCTGTGTTTTTTTTTTTTTTTTGCTAAAACTGTTATGCCTGTTCTACTCAACCTTTATAATAATATAAATAAACAAAACAAATATGTTCCACAATCTCGTTTACTATTTTTCTTTAAACCTTGAGAGTAAATAATTATTGAAATTCAAGAAGCTGAATACATTTATAGGCTCCATATTATCAAACACACTTTTAACTTTTAACTAAAACAAGACAATATAAGTTGTATCCAAATCCTTTAATCTGAAAAAAAAACTCTCTCTTTAGTGACCATAGCCTACTGATTTGTATTACTGCATCCGGTTCAAACCCGATGTAATGCATGTTGTTGACAAAAAAAAAAAAGTGTTACTGCGTCGTTGTATCATCGCCCGGCTCAAACCCGATAACATGCATGTTATTGTTAAGAAGAAACGGAACTGCCTCCCATTTTTAACCTCCACAACCACCACCACAGCCAGCAGCGCATGCGGAGCCATTGGCGTCATTAGTATGAGACTTAGAAGCTCCGTCGCTACAAGAGAAAATAACGGTGGCTATTACGGAGAGAGCAACAACAGCCGCCCAAATGTAGACCAAGATAACGGCGCCTTCTGATCCTCCGCCCGCCACCGCCACCGCCGCGAGTCCTCCTCTCATCATCTAAGAAGTTTTTTTTGTGCATTGTTGTTCAGACAGTTGTTGACAAGTTGATAAAGAGAGAATTATTGTCATCTTTCAAAATGTGTGGTTTTGCTTTTTCGAGTCAGAAGTCATTAAAGATGCAATGCAGCGACTCTTTCTTACTCGCATGCCCTTTGGTTTAACTCTAGGGTCAAACTAAAAGTTTACCAATTTGTGTAGGTGGACATTCGTCATATCTCACCACTTAACAGAATTCTTATCAAACTAAGCAATGCGATTTTATAATGAATATGTGAAAATTTATCACTGGTCAAGTAATAGTTGATCAAAACATTGTACTTAGAGTACTAGAGAGACAAAGGTGTGGCACGTTTTCAGCGTAATTTTTCATAATCGTTTTCTTCTTCTTTTTCATTCAGCACTAAAATCAAAATTTTTAAGCCGTAAGTGATTAAACTATCTTTAAAAAATAAGAACAAGATCAAATCAGCTTGCGGATGGTCTCACACAGACAAATAACGTAAGTTTCAAAAAAAAACAAATATGGTTCTCATTTTAATTACAAATAAAAATATATATGAATTAATTTTTGGGTCAGTTTGCT